CGGGGTCTCCAGCTTCGAAAATTCACGAAATAAAAATTCGATTTCCCGAAGACCGTATTCAACCTCAAACACCTCAACAGTTCCCGTCTGTCAGTCAGACATTAGAGTCATGTAAATCAGGCAGCTTTGAAAACTTTTGGGTTTTAGCCCTTTGGTTGTTCTAATATGCACAGAAAAATATCATTTCATCAAAGAATTTCCCAGCTTAAAAATGGTTCTTTAGTTGCCTACGTGAAAGGAAAGTACGCACTTGTTGAGACGTGTCGCGTTGTCAGCTCGTCAACTTCCAACAGAATCCAGTAACCATTCCGGAAAACACGAATGCGGTGGTAGTAGCTGTCATCAATCTTCCTCCTAGGTTCCTTCACTGAAATTGGTCCACCGCCCATGTTGTAGGTCAAATTGACATATCCTTCTTCCTGCAAATAGATGGAGGGCATTTAGTCAGTAGTATAAATGATATAAACATGCCTACTAACTATTGTTTAAGTAGAAAGTTACCTACCACCATTAAATGCAGGAAATCCACACTGCCCTGGCTCGTCTCGACGTAAAGCAGAGTTGCCGTCAGTTCCATCTGTTCCAGTTGGATCCCTAAGGCCAGTTCGTCACGGTTTGTATTTGGGTATGCATGTAGATATGTAAATTTAATGAAGCAGTCATTCCTGGCGTCGGCCGTTTCTCCAAATTTTAGGGAAGTACCCGCTAAATGGTCAAAGCAGAAAAGGTAGAGTTATTCTAACATGCACAGCTGCGGCATGTACTATTTTCGAAAACATTTTCCCATGCACATTGAAGTTTATTAGACTGCCTGTAGCAATTTTAATACGTAGTGGTGACAGATGTACGGTTGGCAAAAGCGCACGGATTTGAAAGCTCGATGATGAAATAACTATTATACCTTCGTAATTTACGTCAACTAAATTTTTTTCTACTTTCAACGTAGGCATCTCACTATAAGAGAAAACTGTGGACTGCACGCTACCGTTAACTGGACTAGCCTCAATCACGGTAGTCAAAGAAGAATTAAGTATCCTTTACTGTGTAGTAGCTTCTGCGAAGGGGGCTCTATGCTGATAGGTCTGTTACTTTCCTTTCGTCCTCCATGCCGCGAGGCAGGCTGACACAAAATCCAAGCTGGGCCCTGTAATGGACATGTCTGATTTAGTAATCAACATCAGTCAGCCATATCCAAAGCCAGGTTGACCAACACCGGAGGCCAAAGGGAGGAGTGTGTTCCGGAATGCGAGTGATGAACACCCCACAACCCCTGGTAGTGTAGGCGAAAGGACAAAGAGCACGTGGTGCAGTAGGTTAGAGTCTTCGGTTTCTGTGCAACAGGTCGCGGATTTGAATCTCGGGAGCTGCAATACCTGAGGCGGAATATGGCTGGCTGATGATGGGTAATAAGCCCGAAATGGTCATTATAGTTTCCGTTGACTTTGTAGCGACCCCTTATTCTTAGTCATGCTTTCCTCGGACGCCGCGGGGACAGGTCATGTCTGGCGTGACCACCACGCGTGCGCAAGACACGATAGTCAAAGCCTCCGTTCAAGGTCAATCCATGTCTGGTTTTCTCAAGGTCAGGAGCTTACTGTTGGGGAGTTGTTTATGCTCAGTCACTCCCGGAACCGACTT